GAATATCTAAAAATAAATCCGTGCGGGCTCAGCCCAAAGCGGACAATATCATACTAGTGTTGAGTTGACCCAGTCCCAACAAAATTCTCAACAATTCTCAAATACCGTACCATTCTATTCCACAAATTTATTTATTTTTATCCATCAATATTTCAAGCATTTGGAGTTCACCGTATCTTCACCACTTGGCTCAATGCAACATACACATAAGAAATATATTTATGAATTTTGCACACAAGCCGATGATGTGCAAATCATTACTCTACCGCGATGAAAAAAAATAAGAAGATAGAATTATAAATAATATCTATTTCTTATTTGTAGATGACTTAACACAAACAAAGATGTCATTACAAGAACTAATAAATCATATTCTATATATTTTTTTTCTTAAAAGATGGTATGGTAAACAAATTAAATACAAGCATGTTAATAAGTACAAGTTGTTGAAAAATGAATTTTGGTTGATGTTATTCGTAGCTGGTCCAATCAACATATGGATACTAGTGATCAATTGCGGTTCATTCAACGTGAAATAAGTGGTTTATTTGTTGCAACCAAAGTTGATCACTCCAGTATATCTCGGAAAGGAACATCGGATTTAGAGGGTCTGATTGAATTAAATATGTAGATCTTAAGAGATTTGATTGAAAAAATATCATTGAGTCAAGATATGGATTTATTTAAAATGATTTATTTCCATATTTGACGTTCTTACCTTATGTATTGATTATATTGGTGATGTGGAGATTTTGTTTATATAATACATAATTGTGTGAAGGGGTAGTGTGAGATTATAGAAAGAATCCTTAGGATGATGAACAATTCTATAAAAGAACAATAGAGTAGACAAAATTGAGTGATAACTAGTTGAGCAACTTTAGGAAGAATGTGAAAAATATTGGAAGGGAAAAATACTTCGAAGATGAACCCGTTCCCATGCAATAGTTAAGAATTCTTGACGGTATCTAGTGTATGTGCTTTTGAGATAGCATCTATTACAATTTTATTGTAAGCTTGATTTGTTCTTCCTAGAGCTAAAGTGATATTGCATGGGTTGAACCCCCATATATAGATCACGATTGGACCAAACTAGGTTAACAATTGTTTTGTATTTTATATTCTTGTTGTCACTAGTATGTGCATTTGCAATCCGATTGTCCAACAAACAACGAGTTTGTGTTGAGATTTTATTTATCTATGTTTATTTTCGAAGTGAATTGTTGTTGTTGCTAAGTGTTTGATTGATTTCGAAGCTAACACAACTCAATGTAAAAATTGTTGACAAAATATTAGTCAAGTTGTATAAAAATCCATTGATTGTTACAAGCTAGCTAACCAAAGAATATTTGACAATCTAGTGATGTTTTAAACCAAACATCAGAAATATATATGTGAATTGTGATAACTCTTTCACATGTGAACATATAAGAAGTGAGTTAAAATATGAACTAAAGTCTAAAATAGAATATGAGCTATTGTACTGTTAATAATGTTGCTGAAACATTTTATTATTGTAGTGTTGTTTTGAACAAACCAAAATTAACGAAACTGATGGATATTCATCAAGTTAAAAGTTAACAACACTATATAGTGACACTCATGATGAATCATATTCTCCTAGTGTGAATGCTTGCAGGAATTAAAAATAAAAATAAAAATATTGATCTTATCCAAAGAAAATTGTAATATTTAATATTATTGTTGGCAAAAGATGAAATATTTGGACACCTAAGGAAAAATCCAATGGCCAAATTAATTAATAAATTTTTTAATTAGTTATTTCAATGATCTATATTGTTATGTTTGTTATTTTAATATTACATTATCTACATAAAATTACAAAAAATGTCTTATATATAGATCTTATTATCATGGTGATGGATCACATGCTGAATTTAAAGTGTGTTGAATGCTTATAAATTTAATATTTTAATTTACTCTATTAATTAATATAATTAATGTAATTAGTTAAAATAATTTTGTAGGCATCACCACACATGCTGAATAATTAAATTCAGCATATGATCCATGTTGTATTATCATTTGTATATATATATATATATTTGTATTTTTTCAATAAAAAATAATAAGTCTATTCGGACTCTAAGACTTTAAAATTATCCTCCAATGCCAGAAAAGACACGTGTGCCTCACATGAGTAAACGTAATTTCGCTGGCGCACGTGGAACTCGCTGGAACCAATGTGGCAAGTGACGTGGCCTTGGCTCCCCATAAATAGCCGGAGGTGAGGCCACATCATTTGCCACATTGACTCCGGCAAGTTTCAAACGATTGCTGACAAGGTCACATCCGTTCACGTGAGGCGCACATGCTTTTTCCGGCATCTGAGGATAATTTTAAAGTCTCGGAAAAATCTATTATCCTTTATTGAGAAATTGAAAAAAAAAAAAAAACTGAAAATGATAATGAGACTTACATATAAGATATTTCTTTTTATAATTTTCCCTATTATCCATATTATGTTAGTATATTTTTTCACTTTTAATATTATATTATTTGTGTCTTTATGTATGTTGTTATATATATATTTCTTTAATATTAATATCATATTATTTTTGTCATTATGTATGTTTTTTATTATCAATATTGTTATTTATATTTTTAAAATTTATAAAATTTCAATGATATATTTAGTATTTTTGTTTATTATTTGTACAATTTATTAAATTGTAAGATAATTAAAAAATTAAATTATTATGAACAGTTAATTATATTTTATTAAAAAATTATTGAATAAATTATATATTCATATCTAGCAAGATAATGCAAAACTAGAGTGCCTTTGTTTGGTGAAAAAAAAAAAAAATAATAATAATGCAAAGCTAAACATATATAAGGATTATACTAATTTTATAAATGCAGTAAGAGGTTTCAATATTGTTCTTACTCCATAACCATCTAGGGTGTGTTTATTTTGTAAAATAATTTGAAATAATATTTTTTTATATGAAATATAAAAAATTGTGTAGAGAATATGAAAAATATAAATATGTGTAATATATTAATTTTTTGAGGAAATGTATGATTTTTTATTTTTTTTAAAAAAACACACCACTAATTCTCCGGATATGAATGTCAATAATTTAGAATGATTTCGAGAAATTCAAAATTTCCAAACTGAAAAAGCAAGCAAAAATATGAATGAGCTAGTTGACCGAGTCTTCACAAGTTTCAAAAAATTGACATAAAAAATATTGAACAAAGTATTCTTAATTTTACAAGAATATTTAATTGAAATAATTATATTAAAGGGAGATAATTCCTATAAGCTTCCACATTTAAGAAAATATAATTTATTTAAAATTAGAAAACTCCTAGATCACCTCATTGATCCTATGGAGTTGGTGATTTAGTGCATTCAATATCTTATTGAAAAATAAAGTGTGAAGAGAATTAAAATACTTATAAGTTATTTAGATTATTAAAGATAAAAATATAACAATGCTTGTTTAGTGAATGCTTATTATGCTTTAGTAAACCTGTAACAAAAAATTTTCAAAAATAGGTTTATAATATAAATATATATATTTTTATATATTTTTAATTTTTGTGCTGAAAATGACACTTAAATACAATTGTAAATACAAGACTGATTTGCCTTAAATGAAATACAATTCAAAAAATGTTTATTTCCTCAAATTGGTACTTAACAAATTGAGTTCAAATGTAAAAATATGTTTATTATGAGTATATACGGGAAACCGAAAGCAAAATCACGTCCTAACACTTCATATAACCAAAAACTAGCCATAGCATAATTTTCAAAACAAAGCAATGAACAATACTCCTAGTCCAATGTTAACGGAGCATGCTTTCAAATACACAACAAGAAAAGTAGAAAGTCAGAAATAAAATTCATACTCAAAACACTTAAATAAGTCATGAATTAAAATATACTCATAAAAATAACTCGATATATTGTTGGCGCCCTCTCGTGAAACCCACTGGAGAAATAAAATCCAATCCTAAATTGAAAGACTCTTCCATATCCGACATTCATCCCTCATCTCGTGCACTCGTGACCAGTTGCTTTCTGGAGTCTAGATACAAACCGTCGTTGCCATGAACTCGGACTAATGAGGTGAACAAATTTGCTCATCGGCGCATTTAATATGAGCAATAATTGGATTAAACTTGTTCCCCCAACTTTTCAATAAAAATATTATATGAAAATATTATTTAAATAACAATCAAAATTAATTTTAAATTCCAACCAAATATAAAGTAATTTTTTCTTTAGTTTTTTTCTTATTATTTATAATTTTTAAAAATTATTATCAAATTTCTTTTTAATTTGTATATTAGTATTAAAACTAGGGTTTGCTTTTTTTACACTAAATTCAAGATTTATACTATTTGGGAATTTTTTTTTTTTTTTTTTTTCATAAGATATCTCATCATATATTATTTTAATATCAAATAAAACTAAAATTTTTAAAATTCTATTAAAAGAAATATACCCTAAATTTACATTCAAAATACAACTGTATTTATATTAAGACTTTGTTCTTTCATTTCTTTTTTCCAAAAAAATTACTACACTACACACATTCATCGTTATTTTTATATTATTTATATAATTCTCTGTATCTCCCATACAAAAATTTTCTTTCCAACAATTTCACAAAACAAATACACTCTAATATTTTTTAAAAAATCGTATTAAAAAAATGTAATATTTGATGATATATTTTACTAAAGAAAAAAATATATTTTTTTCAAAGAAAACAGAGTTCAAATAAATAAGTATTTTAAAAAAGATCTGAAGAAATTTAGCAAAAGAAACATAATGTTAGTATTTTTAAAAAAACTGTATTTATATTTTTTATTAAAAGACGGATACAATGTCCTGAATTTCAATTTAAATTTAAGAAACATAAAATTTAGATTTGACTCGGGCGAGTGGGTTCCGAGTCGACTCAAAACGTGTTTTAACTTAACTGTACAGATAATCTGACATAAATAGAAATGCAGTAACCAAATCAAGCAAGCGTTCGTGGGGAGGACTTGGGGCCTCGGCTCGGCCTATATTTTTACGCATCTCTTTCACGCTTCAACTCCATTTCCTCTCTTTTTCTCGATTTTTCTCTCATATGGCGGCGTTTCTTTGCTAGATTCGCGTAAATCTGCTGCAGGTACGTTTGGACCGTTTATCATTGCCTGTTCGCCGAAAGGACTGGTAAATGCTGAAACCCTAGGATTCATTGCACCTCCTAAGGAAGCCGTTTGCTTTTTGGGTACATTTTTGGGCATTTTTTGGTGTGTGTTTGGTTGATTGAATTTTTTATGGATTAGATTTTCTGTTTCGGATCTGTAATTGGATATAATTTTACAATCGAACTGATTTTTATGTTGGTTTCGTCTTGATTTATTTTAGTTTATATTGTAATGGGATTTGAAGTACGCTAAGAGTTGGGAAATTGAATGTAGGTGTGATGAGAGGAAGTGCTGTTTGTTGCCGAACTATTTGCAGGAAGTGAATCTTCGTATTGAGGAGTAAACTGCCGGTGCTGGTGGAATGGAGCCTGTAGAGGTTTTGCCTCCAAAGCGCAGGGGCAGGAAACGGAAGATAATTGAAGGGCAGGATGCCTCTGTGGATTGCAGTAACAAAAGGAAGACAGTGGAGACTAGGTCTCTGAAGCTTGTGGGTAGATACGTGGTTAAAGAATTTCAGAGCAGTGGTTTGTTTTTGGGAAAAATTACCTTTTATGAGTCAGGTTTGTATAGAATAATCTATGATGATGGAGACTGTGAAGATTTGTATAGTGGTGAAGTAAAAGCATTTTTAGTTGAAGAGGGTGATTTGGCTGGTGAATGGTCTGAAAGGAAAGAGAAGTTGGATGAATTTTTGCTAGGAAAAGAAGTGGGTGCAAAGAATACAGAACTTAAAGATGCCCCGGAGCTGGTCAATGTGAATTTGGTTTCTTCATCAGTGATTGGAGTGTCAAACAATATGGAAACATGTGCTAATGAAGTGATTGAGGTTCATGGTAATAATACCAGTGATACTGATTCTTCAAGTGATTCATGTGAGGACGCTCAAGATGATGATTCCAATCTAGACATGGAGGACACATTTGTTCCAAAACCAGAATTTCCTCCCTCTTCTGGGCATATTGGTGTTCCGAATGAATATGTTTCTCACCTTCTCTCTGTATATGGTTTCTTACGTTCATTTAGTATCCCTCTCTTTCTTTATCCCTTTTCCTTAGATGATTTTGTGGGTGCACTCAATTGCTCTGTTGCAAACACACTGCTGGATTCTGTACATATTGCTCTATTGCATGTTTTACAGCGGCATCTTGAAAGGCTCTCATCTGATGGTTTAGAGCTGGCGCATAAATGCTTGAGGTACTTCTCTATATGTTTTGCCATTAACTTTCTTTATTGGATGTTTTATATGTATGGATCCATTTTTGTGCGATGGTGTTCTTGTTAGGTTTTTCCCTTTGAGCACTTCTCGTGAACTTGACACATTGTATATTAATATTCTGAACAATAATATTAACGTTATTGTTGTTTTCATTATGTTTATGTATGAAATTAAATAGCGGAGTCAAACTATAGGTGGTAAGGTATGTGATTTTTGAAATGATTGTCCTGCCGGTCAATGTCTCCACTAACATTGGTTATTTATAGTTCCTTCAGTGCTGCCCTCTGAGTTCAAGTTGTTTTCTCATGACCATTCAATTGATACCAATAGTATCCTTACTCATCTCTGATTGTAGGTGCCTAGATTGGAACTTGCTTGACACTTTTACTTGGCCTGTTTACACAGTCCATTATCTGATGGTTATGGGCTGTTTAAATGCACCTGAGTTGAAAGGATTCCCTATCCATTGCTTGGAGAGGGATTACTACACTTTATCAGCTGGAACAAAATTGATTGTTTTGCAGATTTTATGTGATGATGTTCTAGATTCTGAACTGCTAAGGGTAGAAATGGACAGGCGTGAAGAATTGGAAGTAGGAATAGACATAGACTCAAGTACGGTGTTTATGACTACTGGTGATTCCAGAGGATTCCATCCTAGATGCTCTAAAACAACAAACAACATAGAAGCAATACAAGTTGTTTCTGAAAATCATCAAATGAAGCATTCTCTTGGTGTCCATTCTACTCAGACAAGTAGACCAGCTGGGAGCTCTGCAGATGAGGATGGTAATGGTGATGAATGTCGCATTTGTGGCATGGAAGGATTATTGCTTTGTTGTGATGGGTGCCCATCATCATACCACACTAGATGCTTGGGATTAAATAAGATGCATATGCCAGTGGGTACATGGTATTGTCCCGAGTGTAAAATAAGTGCTACTCAACCCAAACTTTTGCAGGGTACAATTTTAAGGGGAGGCCAATGTTTTGGGGTTGATCCATATGGACAAGCCTTTGTTGCAACCTGTGATCACTTACTTATGTACGTGCTTCTAACTCTGTTCAATCATATTAGCCTTTTACCTTGTTCTCATTGTCTGTTCATTCTTATTAGCTGGATATTAATTACATTCCTTGTATGAGTGGCTTTACATGCTATACTGCCTTAGCATAACTAATCAAATTTTAATCTTTGAAATTTTCTTTTGCAGATTGGATGCCCCAATCAGATCAGGAGTCTGCCTCAGATACTACAACAGACATGATGTTCTTAAATTTCTACTTTCCCTCTCTTCTAAAGTAGAGCATTTGGTTGCATATTCAGAAATACTCAGGGGAATCTTGCAGTATTTTGAGATACCTGAAAGCATCCTACCTTGCTATGGCATATCTGGAGTTGGTATGCAGATGGAAAAAGAAAAAGAAGTTAGTAAAACTGCATGTCACTTGGATAATTTGTTGGGTAAATCAGCTGTGGAGATTGCAGAGGTTGAGAACTCTGGAAGTTGTACTACTCATTCTAGTGCAGCAGATATGGTGAGTTCAAGTGTTACTAAGTATGTTCAGGAACCTGTTATAATTGGAGGCTCTTTGGACATGGGAACCAAATCTGATCAACTGGCTGTCAAAGGTTTGGCTGAACAGTATTCTTGTGTGAGTAAGGACACTGTCTTGCAGGAACCCATTACTTACAGTGGTTTACCTGGCCAGGCTTCTGATACCAATGATTTAAGCCAACAAAGCACTTCAAGTGTGAATGGAATTGCCGCCTGTGCAAGACAAAATGGCAATATTGATCACAGCGGTCCCTTTGCAAATGGTCTTCGTGAATCGAAGTTGTCTATTTTATGCTTGGATAACAAGGTTGACAAAATGTCTAACTCAGACCCATATGATGCTTGCTTGTTTAAGGGTTCTTTCTTCAAACCAACTGGTTATATTAATAGTTATGCACATGGTTATTTTGCTGCTTCAGCAGCTTCTAATTTGGCCATTCTTTCATCAGAAGAAAATCAAGTTTCTGAATCCCGCCCTTATAATCGGCGAAAGGGTATGCTTGACAATGTTTCGCTTCAGGTAAAAGCATTCTCTTCTGTGGCCGTACGATTTTTTTGGCCAAATACAGAGAAGAAGCTTTATGAAGTTCCTAGGGAAAGATGTTCGTGGTGTTTTTCTTGCAAGGCTACTGTATCAAGCAAGAGAGGCTGCTTGTTAAATGCAGCAGCTTCAAATTCTACTAGAGGGGCTACAAAGGTACCTTGTGGTGTTCGTTTGATGAAGAGTGGTGATGGGAGACTCAGTGGAATTGCAGCGTACATCATTTTTATGGAAGAGAGCTTAGGTGGTCTTGTTGAGGGTCCTTTCCTCAATGACACTTTCAGAAAAAAGTGGCGAAAGTTAGCTGAACAGGCTACAACATGCAAGGCTGTAAAGATCCTTTTGCTTGAAGTAAGCACTAATTTTAGTTGGTTGCATGCTTGATTCTGATTTTATGACAAGCTGATAAATCAATATGCATGGTTATATGATTAATAAATAATATTCGCAAGGTTTGAAAATGAAGGGTGTTAATATGGAGCACAGTGAGATACCCCCAAACTTCTATCCTATCCCTTCATTCTATGCTATTAGCATATTATTTATTTTCTATTTGTTGTCTTTCAAAAGAGAAACCATAAAAAATTGTTATATATCAAGAGATTTCTTGGGATCTGTTCTTTTAAGTTTGGATTTGAATTTGAGGTTTGGGAATAGTAAACATTCGAATTGAAATAGTGTTTGATGGGATCTAATGGATGTATGATGAGATGTTTTGAATATAAAATTAATTTTTTGGTACTATATTAAATGAAGAGAATAGGTGTTTGATTTGATGGTTTTAGGAAAATAGAATTTGATGAATAGTGAGACCAAATCCAAACGCTATTGGCTCCATTTTCTTTCTATAAATTATTACTTATCAAAGTAGTTATTAGTACTTCATGTATTAATAAATTTACAGATAATTAATGTAAATATATTTACTTCATATCTGCATCATTTCAATATACTTGGTTCTCTGAATGTATCATTTTTATTAAACTATTCTTTATTTAGTATAAGAATAACAATCAAGTATTTGCATTTCATCATTGATCACTATATATATACACATTTATCTGAAATGCTGTTCAATGCTGGTTGATGTGAATGTCTAACATACTCTTTAGGCTTTCTACTTGATGTTTTATCTATCATTCAAGCATAAGAATAGCATTCAAGTATTTGCATTTGATCATCTATCACTATATGTACAGTATACACACATTTATCTGAAGTGCTGTATAGTACTGGTTGATGTGAATGTCTAACATACTTTGTAGCCTTTCTGCTTGACTTTTAATTTGTCATACTTTAGATGAAAATTGTTTGATAACATTGATTAACCTAATTTTGCGATCAATACAATCAGTTTACCCTAAACCCTTAGGGTGTGTTTGTTTGGGGGTTTGGATTTTGAGTTGGGATTTGAATAGTAAAAAATTTTGAATTTGAATAGTTGTATGATGTGATATAAATAGGTGTTGATGTGATTTTTTGAATGTAAAATTGATTTTTAGTATAATATAAAAAATAAAAAATAGGTGTTTGATTTGATGTTTTTGGGGGAAAAATGGGATGAATAGTGGATTTAAAATCCAATCCCCCAAACAAACACACCCTAAGAAGCCATTAAATAATATAGTACTATATTACACATAATAGTAAACTAATTACTAAGGTTGGTCTATCTTAGGAACAAATTGTTTGACTATAACAGGTGGAATGTCTAATACTTTATTATTAGATAATATTATTTAAAATAATTTCTAATATTTTAGTCCCAATCCCACCTCAAAAAATATCAAATCCACATTTGTTCCTGTATGGTTGCATTATTTCAGTTAGTTAGTAGGTGCAGAATCATCTCAGCTCTGTGGTCACTGCATCTAATTGGAAAAATATAGTGAATTGAGATATATTTGCCCACGGGTTTAATAGATGGTGCTTTGATTGATGTTTATCAATAATTATCGCTATATTACTACACTTGTGTTGCTCTGTATTGCTCAGTATTGCTCATAATTTTGCACTTCCAAATTCCTAATGCTTTTGCATTTACAGCTTGAGGAGAATATAAGGACAATTGCCCTATCTGGAGATTGGATAAAGCTTGTTGATAGTTCATTCCAATCTTCTACTTCTCAAATTACAGCTAATGCTGCTGGGTCAGCTCAGAAGCGTAGACCAGGGAGGCGTGGTCGGAAACCGTCTGCTGTAGTTGAAGAAATTAGTGCTAACTACAAGGATATGTCCCCTGACTTTACTTGGTGGAGAGGGGGTGTGCTGTCAAAGCTGATGTTTCAGAGGGGAATCCTTCCTTGTTCCATGATCAGGAAAGCAGCTCGTCAAGGTAAATATGTAATATAAGCATGCCCTATGCATATTGTTTCTTGGGAAGTTGGATTGCTTATATTGAGTGAGGTTGTGATTAGCTTTTCATTGAGTTTATAGATGTCTAAACATATGGGTACTGAATTGTGAGAATGACAGGTGGTTTAAAAAAGATAATTGGCATACACTATGTTGAAGGACATGAGAGTTCCAGAATGAGCAGGCAGCTTATCTGGCGCTCGGCAGTTGAAATGAGTCGGAACTTGGCTCAAATTGCACTTCAGGTATCATTAATTTCTTATTTACTTTGAAAATAATACGCCTACACCTTTGTACTTATACCATGATTATTTCTGGTGGTACTTTATTTCTGGAAGCAAGCATATTATATTTTGATGTGTTCTTTCTAATGCATTCAACACACCAGGTTCGATACCTTGATTTTCATGTGAGATGGAGTGATCTAGTTCATCCAGAGCAGAACCTCGTCGATGGAAAAGGGCCTGATGCAGAAGTTTCAGCTTTTAGAAATGCTTTTATTTCTGAGAAGAAAATAGTAGGACATGACACAAGATATTGTGTTGATTTTGGCAGTCAGAAACACCTGCCATCTCGTGTTATGAAATATGTAGCAGAAGTAGAGAAAATCCTGGAAGATGGGAAGGAAAGATTCTGGTTTTCTGAGACACGCATCCCATTGTATCTAATTAGAGACTATGAAGAAAAAGTAGTGAAAAACAAAACTGTGGAAGTATTTTCCAAACTGCAGAGGTGGCTGGGGAAGGGTTCCCGTAAAAATATATATCCCTATCTTTGGAGGAAGCAAGATAACCTGGTCAGGAATTATTGCCCTTCCTGCCATGAAGATGTCTTGCATAGGTAATCTTCAAAACATATCTTCCTGACTTTCTGTTTTCTCATACAAGGGCTTTCCCTTCTAAATTAACTGTTAATTTTTCGACCTTTGCGATTCCAGGAATGCAGTCAAGTGCAGTGCATGCCAAGGTATGCTAATACTCTTATATCTGGAATTCTCAAACTTGAACTCTTATCTTTTTATATATTAAATAGGATTTCTGTAGTTGATATACTGCTAGAAGTACCAGAAAAAAGAAATCATGGGGAGTTTATATATGAGAAATGCTACTTTTTGGTTTATAGTGATGCAAATCCATTACGCCTATTTGTTTCATTCCCTTTTTGTACTCTAAACCCTAAATCCATCACATTCCTTGATATGTCTAGATTTCTTATTTATTTGCAACATTCTTTTCTTTCTTGCATTAGTGTGCCATTACTAAGATACATAATATGATGAACTGCTGGCAGGAAAGGATATTATGTACCTTTTGGGTATACTTAGAAACAGCAAGTTTTGTGCATACTCCAGTATGCTAGGTTCAATGTTTTTTATTGGATTGCAGTTGTTTTACATCTTAAATGCCCATGTTGTGAGATTCTTGCATATTATGATCCGATGACTCTTGAGAAGTGCTCACTAACCCTATAAATAGCATCATTTGTACACTCTTTGAATTTTAGTACAGTTTCTTTCAGAATTTTCTCCAATGGTGTTCATTACTTTGCTCTTTTCTGTTTGTAATTTTGATATTCTGAGACTGCTAATTGTGGAAGAAGGGGACAGAAGAAACACTAAAATCTTATGCAAAAAACCATGTATATGTTTCAATATTTTTCTCTTTGTTCATTTATATTTCAAATATAATGTGGAAAGTAATTAGCTTTTTATGCTGCATCCCGTTATTGATTTACTTGCGAAACTATTGCTCTGCCGTGACGACAGTTGATTCAGCATGTTTGACTACTTATTTTTCTATATATGACTTGAAAATAAGACCTTGTCTATTAGTTTATTTGGGTTGTTATTTATGATCTCTTGTGACAAAAAGCTAGTCAATTGGGTATGAAAACATGCCTGTTACTGCCATCTTATCTTATCTTATCCTTCTTTTTTTTTTTTTCTTTTTTGTGGCAAAGAAGTTGTCTTGTTATTTATGATTTCGTGTGATGAAAAACTTACCAAATTTGTTTTGTTGATCAGGTTCTTGTCATGAGCAATGCACCAATGGTTTAGCAGTTGAAGTGAACGAGGGGGTTGAATTTTTGATCACCTGTAAAAAGTGCTGTGAAAGTCGAGTTATCACTCACGTCCAGAGTAGTTATGGATCCCCTACAAGTCCTTTGCTTCTACAAACTCAAGACTTACCAAACGGTAGTAATACCAATATACACGTGAACTCAATAGCTTATAAACAGCCACAAGCACCAGTGCCCATAGAAATTTCTTCTGAGAAGAAATTGAGTAATGGTTCTGCGGTTGCTAAGAAAACCAAAAATAAACACTGGGGTCTTATATGGAGGAAGAAGAACGCTGAAGAAAATGGCGCTGATTTCAGGTTGAAGAACATTCTTATGAGGGGCAAGTCCGATAGGGGTTCGACAGAACCTGTTTGCCGTCTTTGTAATCAGCCATACAATCCTGACCTAATCTATATATGCTGCGAAACATGCCAACGTAAGCTCTTCTCGCATTTGATCGTTATTTTTTATAAATTAACTTTGGCGCTTTGGTGATTGTATTCCTGGTTTTTCGCAGATTGGTATCACGCCGATGCGGTTGAATTGGATGAGTCCAAGATTTCTATGCTGATGGGTTTCAAATGCAGCAAGTGCCGCAGAATCAGATCTCCTGTGTGCCCGTACTTGGATCCTGAAAAAAAGAAGGCATTGGAGAACAGGATCGACAGCCGAGCTCCCAAGGTGGATAATATCGAAAAGGCCAACGATTCTTGTCTAAATTCCAAATATCTCAAAAAAGAAGGCCCATCATCTTTACCACCTCCCATGAAAGCAGAATTTCATCATCAACCACCAGCAGATGATCGGCGCCATCCTTGTGTACCCCAAGTCGGGAAGTGCTCCAACACACCAATGGTGGACAGCGAATGGAATAGCGCCACTCTTTCTAATTCAGCTTCTCGAAAGCTTCCTGTTAGAAGGCACTTAAAGCAAGAGAATGACACGGCCGATCCATTTCAGATCGGCGCATCTGTTGTAGCCGAGACCGAGAAATTGCCCGTCAGGAGATACACTTACACTGACTCTGCTACTGACCGTATGCAAGTTGAAGCCCCAAAAACTCAATTGGTCAATTCTGACGAAAAAGCTGCTGACACATTGGAATACGATGATTGTCTTCAATATGATGGTGCGGAGTTTGAGCCTCAGACATATTTCTCGTTCGATGAGCTGCTCGCCTCTGACGATGGGGGAAATGGATCATATGTGTTCCCGGAGAATGAAACGCTCGAAATATCGTACGATCAGGAAGAACCCGTCATTTCTGTCGACGTAGTGCCCTGTAAGTTCTGTGCTCGCATTGACCCGTTTCCAGACCTTTGCTGCAAAGCGTGCGGGATGTGGTTGCACGGGCATTGTTCGCCGTGGGTGGAGTCGTCCTCGTCCTCGTCGTGGGAGGACGGGTGGAGGTGTGGTAATTGTCGGGAGTGGAGATAATCGATTCTGTTTGTTTGTTTGTTTCTAACAGTGGGAGGATGTGGTCCGATGAAGTATGTATCTATATTGTTGTACAAGGAAGGAAGGAATGAATCAGAAAACAAACCAAACAGCAGCAGAGTGTGGTTGTAAGGTAAGGTGTAAGAAGGTATCATTTTTGAGCATTGGTTGATGAATTAATTGTTTGTGGGCAGCTATGAATGAAATGACACTACTGCCTGCCTGCCTGCCTATCGTATCATATTTTGCCATTCATTCCATCTAACTAAACTATATTCTCTCCTCTTTTCTTTGCTAAATTCTACTTTCTTTGTTCCATAATTTATCAATATATTAATTTTGGCAAACTCAATAACATTTAATTATTATTTTTGATTCAATATTTATTTAGATATTATACTAGAATTAAATTTTTTAAAAAATTATATTTTTATTTTTAATTTATATGTTATATTTTTATTTTTTTCAAACTTAAAAGTATTTTTTAAAGCATATTTGAAGTAGCTTTTGAAACAAATAAAAATACTTCTAAATAAAAATTATCATAATAATGATAATAATAATAATAATAATAATAATATAAGATAATATAAAAATAATTAATGTAGATATTATACTAGAATTAAATTTTTTAAAAAATTAAATTTTTATTTTTAATTTATATGTTATATTTAGATTAAAATTTAAAACTATAACTGGACTTTTCGATCACTTGTTCAATTTGGAATTTTTTCATTTGCTTTCTTGGGCTATGCATTAATTTCAGACTGGATCCATCATTTTAACTAGTCCTAATTCCTCCAAAATTTTTCTAAAATTTTTTGAATTTTTTATATAACAGTTATGCTGTGATTTATTATTATTATTATTATTATTATTATTATTCTTTTTATTTTTACATACTCGTACACGCAGGCACTCACCAGGATCAAATCCGAGGATGTCTCACCATTTGCCATGACTGGCTGATGTTCTTTCATCCCATACAAACCACGACCAAAACGAAGCAAACTTTTGAAGAAAAAACGTAGTGCCAATTAAAGTCCTCAACAAACCTAATGACCTAAAAAAAAAAAAACACAAAAAACTAATGTGAAAGTAGCCTGCCTGGCTGCTTGGTACCGTACACCTTTTACCGCTCCCACTAACAAAAGCTGCATCCACTCGTACAAACACACACCAACATAATGCAAACCAAAATTTTTCTTTATTTCTATTTTTTATTTTTCTTAATAATTTCGAAAAAAAAAATAATTTGAATTTGATATTAAAATGATACTTCTTCGATCTAAGATTAGCACATTTTGAACCGACACGGAGATTAAGAGAGATGATGTTAAATAAATATTAAATGTAGGATAATATCGAAAAATACATAGTAGTACAAATAGAGGTTTGGAGAGAAGAAACAAACGATGCCCAATAGTAACGAAGTTACCATTTAATTGAATTTAGAGCGGTCTAGAAGCTTCTTTCAGCTTAAACAATGCATGAAAAGACCAAAATACCCCCCGCATTCACATAACACTACAAGCATTAGGGTTCTCATCACTGAACAGCTGAGGAGCGTGGTATGGTTGTGGTACGTACCAATTATACGGGGCCGGGTAGTAGTAAAAATACTGCTCACCCGGGTACGGGTTCGGGTTCGGGTTCGGGCTTACGGACCGTTGCGACTGCGCCTTGTTTACTGCTTCGGTTTTGTCTCCTCCGTCGCCGCCGCCGCCGTCGGCCTTCTCCTTGCCGCCGCCGCCGGCCTTCTCCTTTCCACCGCCGGCATTATTCTTCTCCTTTTTGTTTCCATTCTTTTGCTTTTCACCTCCGCTTTTCTCCTTCTCTGCGGCGGCGTCCTTTTGGGGTAGAATTTCGACTTCCTTTTTCACATGCTTCCTGAGCACCTGAGCCAACGCTTCTACGTCCATGGCGCCGGTTACTGTTACCAGGTTCTTCTCCTTGTCGATCTTCATGCCGCTGTAACCTGCAAACGCACCGTCGGATTAGGATTGTGAAATTGAATTAGAGATCGATCGATTATATGCTCACCCTTGGTTTTTGCTATGGATTTTCTGATCTTCTGAATGCAGCCTTCGCAGTGCAAGCGCATCCTCAGCACCGTCGTTGTCACCGGAATCTGCATTACGATTAAATTCAGAGAAACTGTAAGATGCGCGTGGGAGACGTGGGTGAGGTGTTGAGGCGGTTAACTGTTGGATAGTTGCAAACGTGTTGTTCGTGCTAAATATGGAGAAAACAAAACAGAAAATCGACGAATGAAATCGGATCGATGAACTGACGGTAATTGAATACCTTCTTTTCCTTTTCGGAAGAATCCTTATCGGATTTATTCTTCGAGTTTTTATCATTGGACTGCTCTTTGTTGTTCTTCTTCTTCTCTTGCTTAGGATTCACAACATTGTTGTTTTCTTTGCCTTTTGCATTCTCTTTATCATCGTTGTTGCTGTTTTCTTTCTTTGGTTGTGGCGAAATGAGTTCAAACTTTTTGTGCGTTTTCTGCTCCACCTTATTCCTGAGTTTCATCGGATCCACTTTTCCGACCACCGTAATCTTCTGCTCCCCGCCGATGGAGGCGCTGTAGACACCTAAATAGAAAAAAAAAAAAAAAAAAAAAAAAGAAGCAAAAACATCACCAGGAAATCAGATCCGAAGAACTACCAACACATCTATGGTGAATATATATTAGGAAATAGCTTTTCCGAAGAATATCACCGTCCAAAGAGCGGATACACTTCAGAACTTTGGAAACGCAGCCATCGCAGTGCAAGTCAGCCTTCAGCACCACCGTGACATTGCTCCTGCCTCCTCCTCCATTCTCACCATTGTTCTTCTGCATAGGAGCCAATTGCCAAATCGAAGTTTTCCTTATTAACAATTACAAACTGCATGATGAATAATTAAAGCACATTGACATTGAGATTAAGTTAGATTGATTACCTCACCCATTGGCAACGACGCGATCGGAGTTGAAGGAAACTGTGAAACTTGGTGGGGGAGGAAACTGGAAACTGCCTCTGGCGGTATTTATAGTTTGGCAGTGAGTCATATGTTAGTGGGCAGAGATAAGAGGAGTTTGAGTTGTCACACCTCAAACTAAAGAGTCTTTCTATTATTGCATCTACAATTCTTCCAAATTCCAATATATTAAGGCTTTAACATTCTTTTTTAATAATAATAATATTATTATTATTATTTTTAAAAAAAAATTAAATTAAATACTATTTTTATTTAATTGAAATTTATCATTTCCGGTTAATTTGTCGACTTAACTTACAGTTACATATGAAGTTTTAAGTATTGTATAATTAGTAAATAATTAAAAAATATATTAGTAAAAATAATTATGATTTAATAAAAATAATTATAGATTAAAATTAAAATAACCAAATAATTTAATAAAAAAATTATAAATTATAAATTTTAAAATGTGGTTAAAATTTATAATTATATTTTAAAAAAATGAGAAATTATATGGAACAAAAGAAAGTGGATAAATTAAGTGGGACGGATGAAGTAATATATTTTCAAATAATATAGTACTCCTTTCGTTCCAAAACAATAAAGACATTCGGGATGGACACGAGAATTAAAGAATAATAATATTATATCGATAATGGATGTAAAAGTATTTCTAAAAAATCAAAATGTCTCTATTTTATATAATTATTGTGAAGAAGTGGGGATAATTTTGTAAAAATGTAGGGAACTTGTTACAAAAAAAAAAAGAAAAAAAAAAAGAGACTATTGTTTTGAGACGGACGAAAATGATAGAATGAAACTATTATTTTGGGACGGAGGAAGTATTTTATTAATTAATGAAAGTCGGTAAGAGATTTTAATATTTTTGTTCTTTAACTTTATGTATAAAAGTAATTGTATGTGTAATAGTATATTTTTAATTTAAATAAAAGTTTGAGAGTATTTGAATATTAGTATAAGATTAGTTTTACTAAAACATAAATAAATATTTCTTAGTGAGATAGACTAAAATGATAAATATGATATTTTGAGCTGAGATTAAAAAAGTATTTATTTTCTCTATTATTCAAATTTATATCCATTTTACTTTTTAGGTTATCATTAAAAAAAAATTCCTTTTTACTTAAAAAGACATTAATATTTTGTATTTTTTTTACTTAAAACAAACACTAACTATTTTTACCTATCTTCTAATGAGGGATGAAGAAGTATTTTTTTTCATAAAATATTGTATTAAATCTTTTAATATTTACTATTTTTAAAAATTTAAAAATAAATCTTAAATTAATATTAATTTGTACTCATTCAATTCTAACTCAATGTGTATTTTTTATTATTTTATGTATCATATTCAAAAATATTTATTTTAATAATAACAATTATCAATATATAAATACCAAAATGATCATAACTTTTACGAAATTATTCATTTCATTTTTACTTGTAGAGACAAAAGTTTTAGAATATTTTAATATTTTCACAAATTAATAACATACTATTATTATTTTCTAATCTACTAAAAAAATGACCACTTTTAGTTTGGACGAAGAAAGTATATATATGATTGTCAATGTGTTTTTTATTCTTCTACTATAATAAATATTTTTGTTTTCAAATATTATAATTAAATTTATGTATTTATTCAAATAATTTTTTTTTTTTTTTTTTTTTTATTGATATGATCTTCAATATACATTATACATTCATTTTTCTAAAAAATTCAATCTTCAACATAAAATATATACATATTTTTATATTAACAATTTCATACTCCATATAAAAAATAGTTCAAACTAAAATACGAAATACACCTTAATTCCAATCCCGAAGACTCTTGATAGATGCAGTGGAATAGAATGCAAATTCAAAAGGTTTGTTGTGTTCAGAATGATGTTGATTTGAACAACAAACTAATCACAAAAATGCATGCGCAGAATGAAACGAAACAAACATCACACCGAAGTTTGTTGACCCAATTATCAACCCAGGGCAATTCCACTATAGGTAAGACAAACAAAACCACAAATAAACAGCCACAAACCCAACTTAATTATATTGGTTTCCCTACCACATGTATCTTTCTTCGCAAAGGAAATCATGGAAGGCCTCGACGTCCATTGGTTGTGCTCTGAAATGGAACGTTGTTGTAGGCAGCTTGACACCTTTTTCTCCTTTAACTCTTCTTAGAAGCCATTTGCATTACACAAACACTCGGCAATTTTTCCACACAACAAACTATTGGAACACTTTCAGAATGTCATCTTCGACTTCGTGAACCAGCAACTTTGAACAGGTTTTTCACCCAAAAATATGTACGAAATCTTTCTAAATTTATGCCTCTCAACACATGGACAAACCTCTCTACAAAACTCTCAAAATAAAAGACTAGACTCGTGCTTAACAATATGTAAAACTCAACTATTACACCATGAAATTTGGGCTTTCCTTTCGATATGAAAATGAGTATAATTTTTCAAGTTCCATGGGTTGTGTATATATATACACACACAAATCCACTTCTTCCAATCTAAATTCAACAACACAAAAACTCCAAATAGTCAAATATGCCAAAACACATCTCATGTCAATTATCAATGCGTATGTAGTAGAAGGAAATGATAGTAAAATGATACCTTTTTCGGTAATAAGAGTAAGATATTTATTCTTCTTTTATATTTGACATCTTTTTTGCATGCAAGCTCGAAGGACAACATTATTTTGTCTTTGTATACAGTAGGATAATGAGATATACATTTTATCTCACCTTGAAGTTTTTTCATTATCCAAAACATCAAGCATCGAACCAAGACTTTGAGTAGGGTTGCAATCTTGCAAGAAGCAGGTTGATTGTCTTTCTTTTTCATCTCTTTTTTACTTTTGAAATCAATGCTAGCACATTTTTTCTTATACTTATGCATAATTTGAATTATTTTTTTATATCCCCAAAAGACATTTTCCAACTCAGAAAATGTGTGACAAAATATTCCACATCAGCAACCAGTGTGGACAATTTAGCGGTCATACATGAACCAATCTAAACAGTTTGCGGATCCCCGATCAAACTAAATTTTATACCAACACAAATGATATTTAAATATTTGACAAATATTAGGGATGTTACCACCTTCTAGTGGTTTTTCCAACAATATTGATTCAAAATGAGGTTGAGTATATTAAACTTAATCATACAAAGTGTCAAAAGTATTTTACTTTATAAAGATTTTATTTTCTTGTAAAATTTACAAGAGTGTTTGTGAAATTTTGATTTTGAATAGTAAAATTTTAAATTGAAAGAATTACTTATTGTGATATAAATATACATTGATGTAATATTTTGAATATAAAATTAAATTTTAGTATCATATAATAAATAAAAAATAAGTATTTTGTTTGATTTTATTTTATTTTTTGGTGAGGGGGATTGGAATAGTAAAAAAAAAAATCAAAATCACACAAACAAACACACCCTACATTTCATGAAATAATATATTTTCTATCTATGTTTTGATAATTTTTCAAATGTCGTCGAGATAGGTGACCCTCCTTAAAAATAGAATTAGATATTTCTTTTTTTTGATCGGATAAAATTAGATATTTACTTGGATGAAAAATTCTATAGAGGTCAAGATGTAAATGTTAGCATAACCACTATTTTGATGCTTTGGTATGGTAGAAATCTCAAAATTGAAATTCAAAATTTTATCGAAGTTATCCTGTGATGTTTTAGCTATTCTTTTTGTATGGGGATATCAAATGCTATATTCAATGCAAAACTCGAGTGATCTTTATCGTTCAAAATTATTTTGGAATATAGTCGAAGTATTAGTTTCTAGAGTAGATTGGAGTTTGTCAAATGTATATAAATAAAAAGCTAATTATGATACATGTAAGTTCTACGAGTTTTTAAAGAACTACATACATTCTAGTTTATCTTTTTATTGTTATCACCCAAAATAATAGTGTAACATCTCGGCCGGTAAGTCATAAAAATCGAATATGTTGGAACATAGACTGATCACATTGATCAACATAAATCCTTTCAGCATGTACAGAGGTTTATCCATTTTAAAATATTCTTAGACAAAACATGTTTAATTCTAGAGTTCTTTCAGTATTCATAGAAAATGATATACATATTGTTGATATAAGTAACCTAATCGATCCATTTAAGTTCTATTCATATTTCTTTTGCAAAACACACTGGATAAGTGTGTGTTGACATGTAAAACTAACTTACGAATCAAACATACTCAATTTGAAATACTTTCATGCTCTTGATAATAATTTTTTTGATAAACAATTTTTTTTTTTTTTTTTTTTTTTTTTTTTTTTTTTTATGTTTGTCATGTGAAACTCTAATTATTTTAGGATTATAAATAGACTTTGTACATAAATAGTTTTCCAATTTAAATTTTTTAATAGAAATAATCCTCCAATTTATATGTTCTCACATGTGATCATGCTGCCTGTATCACATAGTATAATATTTATTAATTTTTTTAAAAATGAAATAAAATAAATTGTATTTGCAACCTAATCGAAATTGGAATTTGTATACATCATGTACAACTACATTAATTATTTCTTTAATGTAAATTTATTTGTATGTATCATATAAAATACAGACATAACAAAACAAACGGTGGGGAGGGGGAGAAGGTATATTAATCCTTCTATCCATATTGTCATCTCATTTTATTATTTTTGTCTACCATCAAATCAATTGTTTCATTATCATAAATAGTAACCATGGTCCTTGTGTCATTGTAAACGGAAAATTGCAAAAAAATCACACATTTTTCGTTATCATTTTTATCCTATATTGCAAAATATATCCCACGTATTTGCAAAAGTCAGTTATTTCTATCTTTTGGCCGCGCGTGATCACGTGTAAAGGCGCGTGGTGTGAATGTCACGCGCGAAAAAAAAAAAAACATAAATAACAACTTTTATAAACATACGAGATATATTTTGTCAGCTAGATAAATATATGACAAAAATGATAATAGAGTATAAATGTGAGATATATTTTTTTTGCAATTTTCTCTCACTATAAAACTATTTTATTTTTATCATTATTATATAAAAATATCTTTATTTTTAAACCAAAATTAAAACACACATTCATATATATAAAAAAAAAAAAAAAAAAAGGAAAGACTTTTTAACATTATTTTATACCTGCAACTATTGAAATATCAAGGAATTAATATTACTTGATCCAAAATTCTAAAAAAAAAAAAAAAAAAAAAAAAAAAAGATATTTTATCTTAAAAATCTAAAATTTTACTATATGTATTCTTCAAATATTATTTTAATATAAAATTCAAGCCAAATTTTCGTCCCAACATTTTAAAATATGTATTTATAAAAATTTACATGTAATATGATATATTTTCTTTTAAAATAAAAATTACATTATATCGTTATGTACAAAAAGAGAAACAAAGACAAGCAAAAACATCCACAAATTTTCCATTTGGCAGGGCAACGCAGATTCAATTCGACATCACTCAATTAATTGCTTAAAACTAATGCAACATACCTTAGGTGGGTGCAGTCGAGCATCCCAAAATTCGCCAACGTAAGTCCAACAAACGGCCGTTTCATATTTTAGATCGAACCTTGTTAATAAGCTCCCGACGAAGAATTTTCCCCGACGCCGATTTCGGGACACTGCTAACGAACGTGACTCTTCTCAATCGTTTAAATGGGGCAACCTGTAATGTGGAAGATTCGACAAATACATACAAGTCACTCTAGAACGACAATAAATCGGCGAAAAGAGACATTGCATGAAAACAAGAAAATTAGGACAGAGCGAAACCACGAGGGATTCGAAAAGAAGGGAATACCTGCTCTGAAATGAACTTGATGACATCGAGTTCGGTAAGTGAGCTGTTAGGTGATAGAACAACATAAGCGACGGGAACTTCACCTGCTTCCGCATCTGGGAACCTACAATGGGAATAAAAATGATTTATATGTATGGAATGGCGAGGTATTTAATTATTGAAGGCTTTGTTAGAATGTTTACGGGATGACAACAGCGTCGAGTATCTCAGGGTGAGATATGAGCAGCCCTTCGAGTTCAGCTGGAGCGACCTGGAGAGAAAATGTTAAGCAATGATTATCGATAATATGTTTCACTTTGTGCCGGGCTCATATGTCTTTATAAGAGTGATATCCTCGAGATTGTTTGCTCGGGTGAAATATAACAATGTTTAAATAAGGGGACTGGTTATGGTGCTGATTAGGGCTATTCAGCATCATTCTAATTAGCCACAGTCGGTACATTGTAATAAAATAATATACACAACACATGGTTGCCATTGACACAGTATATGTTGTGCTTGATATTGGATGAAATCAATTGTGATTGTGTTGTGTGGACGGAAAAATTGTAAAAGATATTCTCTATGTATACTCAATTATAACTTTGTCCTTTAGTTATATTGCTGGAAAAATATATCATAAATGTTTGCAAAAATCGCCATTTTTGTCATTTAGCTGCGCATGGGACCACTGTTGTGTGAACATCACGGGTGCCCATAGCGACTTTTGCAAATTGGCAGAATATATTTTTCTACTGAAATAAATAAAGAACAAAAGTAGTAATTCAATATATATAGAAGATATTTTTTGCAATTTTCTCTGGTGTGGACTATTGACATGTGCTATCAACAATATATTGCATTATATTATACAACCTTAGTCCGGGCTAAGTATACCACTTTGTTTGAATAAAGAGACAAAGAAATAATAATATTTTAATGTTTTAATGTAAAAGTAAAGTAGATAAAAAAGTAAGATAGAGGTATTATAGAGAATTTATTAAAAAAATTATAAAAAAAGTGATGGCATAAATAAAAATATAATAACAAATTGGTTACTATATATAAAGTATAGATAATAAAATTGTTGATGAGCAAGGTGTTTACTATAAATGGATTGTGCATAAATTTAACGGACAGTAAAAAAATGAAAACATGGCATAATTATAGCATACGGATGGAGTATTAAAGTAAACTGGTGTTATTTGTTTATTAGCTATGTGTTGTACGCTATATTGAGGTACTATCAGCATCATGCAAAATATATTTGATTCAACACACTACCAAAAAGAAACCATTTTCAAAGGAACTTACTTGAAAACCTTTGTATTTGATCAACTCCTTAATACGGTCGACAACATACAGCTGACCATCGTCATCAAAGTATCCAAGATCTCCGGTGTGTACCCATCCCTGTTCGTCAATTGTTAGTTTTGTGGCCTGAATGTTGTTAAAGTAACCTGAATTGGGAAGTAGAAATCAATATTAGAATTGAATGAGAACATAGCCCGTCTCCGTTTCCCTGAAAAGCTCTAATAACTTGAAATGTGTAACCAACTACATCGTAAGTCCTAACTACAAATATACCTTTCATCATATTTGGCCCCCGGACCCAAATTTCCCCCATTTCTCCGGGAGGAAGTGGCTTTATTTTGTCTACACTAACAATTTGACACTCCACTCCAGGGACAAGCATTCCAGCCGAACCAGAGTGCCGAGGCCCGGTGTAGGGATTCTCTATAGAGATAATGCCACAAGTTTCCGTCATTCCATAGCCCTGAAATTATTTGGTTCACAGACAATTACATAACGTAAATATCGTATCTCATCTCGCAGTGTAATCACCAAGATAGTATTGTCAAAAAGTTTAGTACATCAGTTAATCCCTCCCTCAGGCTTCCTTTTGCCAAAGAAATGTGCAACTAAATCTTTCCCTGTATGCCGTCGCAGCAGTCAAGAGGAAAATTTCTGCTCTGTCTACATATTCACTTTTGGAAATTTTTGGCATTAACAGTAACTAATAACAATTTCATTTCACAAAATATCACGTCTAACTATTTTAACTTGTTACTATTTCCAAATTTTTCCGAAATTCTAAAACCCTCTATATAAACAGAGATATTTTGTTCAAAGATCGACATTTGATGTTCGGCCACTAAATTTCACAAGTAAAAACAACATCATATGTTTCATTGTAAGCCTCGTTGAAATCATCCAAGAAGTATCCCAAACGTTAACTAAAACAGACAATCAACAGCTGCAGCAGCAATTAATTAATTACAGAGGCACAAATGGATTGTTTCTCATACAAATATTCAAAGAGCCAACGCTGAATGTGCACAGTAATCAACAAGATTGACTTCCATTCACGACATTTACTGCCTAAATCAAGCACAATTAATCAAAATCAGTAAGTTCTTCAATTTTCATGTGGTAGGTAATCTACTGTTGAATGAAGAACTATCAATCGAATGCATCGAACGAAATTAATTACCTGACAAACAACAGCCTGTGGGAAATTCTTGGCACAATCCTGCATCAATTCCCTGCCGAGAGGGGCGGCGCCTGATCCTATCTGCTTTAACGACGAAAGGTCGTATTTGTTCACAGAACTGAGCTTTGCCAACGCAAGTATGATCGGCGGCACCACCCACAGATGCGTGATTCTGTGCTTCTCCACCGCCTTCAGAATCGATTCCAGATCGAACTTCGACATGGAGACGACGGCATTACCGCGCTGCAACTGAGCGTACAGAATAACAGCGAGGCCGAAGATGTGGAACATAGGGATAACGCAGAGGTACACGTTGTGCATCTCGCCGGCCATATCCTGGTCGGCGGAGACCATCAGCGCAGCGGCGATGAAATTCCGGTGGCTGAGCACCACGCCCTTGCTCGTTCCAGTCGTGCCGGACGAGTAGAGAAGCGCAGCAGTGTCGTCCTGCCTGATTCCATACGGATTGCTGTCCAAATCAAAGGATCCTCCGCTGTTTAGGAGCTCCGAGAACAGGATAATCGAGGGGATCCGTCCAATTTGAAGAACTGGCTTCTCCTCAGCGCCAAATAGAACGACCGGCAGCCCGAAATCCCTAACCTTCGGCAGCAAATCCTCGACGGTGAAGATAATCTTCGCGGTGGAATCCTCAATCTGTTTGGATAGCTCCGCGACGGTATAAATCGGATTAACGGTGGTAGCGACGGCGCCAACGGCGATAGCGGCGAAGAAGCAGATAGGGAAGTGGATGGAATTGGGGGAGAATATGAGAACGACGTCGTTTTTGGCGAGGCCAAGGTGGAGCAAGCCATTGGCGACTCTGGAAACGGCGGACTTGAATTGACGGAAGGTGAGGGTTTCGCCGGTGTGGTAATCGATGAGAGCAGGTTTGTGAGGGAAAGACGAAACGTTCCTGAAGAGAAAGGAGAGGAGAGAAAGGTGAGGGGCGTCGGGAGCAGTAAATGGAGGCCTCAAGGATCTGAAGATGCCGTCGAGGCCATAACCAGAGTTCGCCATGGATGCAGTAGTTTCAAAGGTTTTCTTCCCTCGGTTATGTAGAAATACGTGGGACTGTTAATTTGTTTACTAATTAAACTAATCATGGTAGGTATAATAATGCTGACAGTAGAATACATTTTGGTCACCATAGTAGGTATAAATTGATTGTAGTCCGAACATAGTAAATAAAATGCGGAAGTGGAAGTATGTAAAATAATTTTACCATTTTTATTTTTTAGGTAACAAGCAATGAATAATTTCTGAAAAATTAGAGGTATTTTGTTATTTATATATGAATTATTTTTATTATAATAGAAAAAAAATATTTTTTTGAATGTGACATAAAAATGATAAAAAATAGTATATTAAATTGGAATGTATAAAATGTTACTCTCTCCGTCCCGGCTTCGGGGTCCCTTTTACTGCAGACACGAAAATTTAAGAGATGTATATGTTGGATCCTAAAATTCGGAGGTTCCAAGATAGTTCGTTGATTTATCGGTGTGGGTTCCGGAAGTACTCCAAGTAGCCTGTTCGTCGTCGGATTTGGGGCGGCTCCTTCGGTGAAGCCTGCACGGCTTCGATCTTAAACGAGGCTTCAAGTCTAAACGACCGATTACGATGGATTTAAACTAGCATCTACTAAAATTCGGATAAATCTACTGGAAAGAAGATAAAAACATATTGCAAGAAACATAAAAACATGTAATTCGAATTAAAATGCATAAACAAGAACTAAAACATAAAAAAGAAATATAGAAATATACAAGTTCATCTTGTTGTGCGCGTGTGATATGTTTTTTCTAGTTTTAATTTTAAAATAGAATAACCGTTTCTTTTAATTTTAAGATAGAATAATCATTTCTTCCACTAGAATGAACAGTTCCAGTTATTACTCCACCATTCTCAATCACCTAGTAACCTCCCTCCAACGGTCCGGTAACCTTCTTCCACTACCTCCAACTGTCTGGTACCCTCTTTCCATCAGTTTCTGGTAACCTCCTTCCATAATCTCAGTAGCATAATCAAAATGACAAATATTTGAGAAAATTGCAAAAAATGTCTGTACGTAAGTTCAATTATCATTTTCGGACACATTTTTTTAACTTTCGCATTTTAGGACAATATGTGTATTCCGGATATGATTTTTACCCTCCGACGTCAGAAAAACGCACGTGACCATCACATGCACCTACATGGCATTACCCGTGCAAACGTGGATTTTGTCGGTGGTTTGATGTCGCCTGCGTGGACTTCGGATAAGTGATGTGGAATTTCAACTTATTTAAAAAATATATAAAAAAAAATTTAAAAAATCAAGTTGGTCCATTCAGGCCAAATTGAAAATTTTAAATTTTCTTTATATATTATTTTTTAAATAAGTCGAAATTCCACATCACTCCTCCAACATCCACGCAGGCAACAACACACTACCGACGAAGTCCACATTTGCACCGGTAATGCCACGTAGACGCACGTGATTGTCATGTGTGTTTTTCTGGCGCCGGAGGGTAAAAATCATATCTAGAGTACACATATTGTTCTAAAATGCAAAAGTGGAAAAAAAGTATCCGAAAATGATAATTGAATCTACATACGGGACATTTTTTCAATTTTCCCAAATATTTGTCATTTTGATTATGCTACTGAGCAAAATGAATTACATTATCCAATTATTCACCGAACCCAAGTCTCACAACCATATTATTTGGTCTGGGCATGTGGTGCACGCCTATGATCTACTGACATTTATATGTCTGATAATCATTATATAGTTCATATGCATTTCAACTCAACGAATAATCGATTTCGAAAATTATGAATTTAATTCATAAATTAAATTTTATTTATTAAATAAATAATCGATTAATAACTCATTATTCAACATGTGCATCAATCGACGACGACAACTAACGGCAATCAACGGCCTGGACAGCAACGGCAGTGCAGCGAACTCCAATGGACAACGCCGAACAGTGACGGTGAGCGGCGGTGGAACTCCTCTCGTAGAACTTCGGTCACTTTCTCCATACCCGAAATAGCTTCGATCTTGTCGATTCTTACACCAATCTTTATCAATCTAACTTTCTCTGACGAAAGGACAACAAATTAAGACTCAGATGCATGGTGCAAAGTGACCCGAGGTAAATAAATACTAGAACTTTTCTACTATCTTTTTTCCATACGGGCAAGAGAGGCCCCCCTTCCGCACCTACCCCTCCCCTATTTCATTAGAGGTTTATTATTATTATTATTATTATTATTAATTTTTCAATATATAGAAATCTTTGAAATTAATAAAAAGATAATACTTTATCCATCCCGCAAAAAGGTTATTTAATTTTTGCGTCATTGTACTTAAGATAAAAAAAATATCTTTATATTTGAACAATTTACTCGATAAATATTATTGTATTTCTATAATAAAAGACTAATAAACATATTTTTGTTTTTTTCTCTTGATTTTTACTATGTACTAATATAAAAATTAATATTCAAACATACAAAAAAGTCATGACAACCTTATTGCGGGGGGAGGGAGTATAAATACAAATTCAAAGTGTTGAATTTTTTTAATAAGTACTTATATTAATTTTTATTTTTAAAAATTACAAAAATAAATATTTATAATATATATAGTCATTGATATAGTTTTAATTTATTATTGTGTAATAAAATTAAAAAAAATTATTATTTTATAAATTAAAAAATATTTTCTATATTTTTTTTAAAAAAAAAAAAAAAAAGAAAAAAAGATTTGCCCTCCTCTAATTTGATCCTGGTTCGGCCGTGCCTTTTTCAATGCTTTGACGGGAGGTAATATTATCTCCTCCTATTTTCAGGAACAAAATTAGATGAATCATAATAGTCATAATAATAATAATAATAAATAAAAGAGAGAACTATAATTAATTTATTTGGTGAGGGAGTAATTTCAGAGGACAGCAGTATTCCCTTTTGTCCGCCATGATCCATTTTTTTTTATTTTATATGTTCTATAAAAGATAGTAATTTTATCAATTTTAAATATATTGAACAAATATAAATCAATTTAATTAAACTTTTAACATCTTAGAGGCATGACACATTAAAAACCTCTTTATTTTTATCTCTTTCCTCAATTAACATAATTTTTTTTCTATATTTAAAATTCTTCATTTTTTTATAAAACTAATTTATGGTAATGATAAATAAATAAAAATAAATATTTTTTATTCATTTGTATTATATAAAATTTTATTATGTACGGAATGATATCCATATTGCATATATTTTTTTTTGAGATATAATCTTAAAATTCTTTAAAATACCAATAATATTATTCATATAAAAAATAATAAACTAATATCATAACTTATTATTAATAACTTACTATTAGACCATCCGTAAGGGTATCTCCACTACTTTTTCTTATCCACGTCACTTTCTCTCTATGTCACGTTAGCGGAGATACTCTCTCCTATTTTATATTCACAACAAAGATACTCAACCTAATTTTTTAATAAATTTTTATTTTCATATTATATATATCATTTTTTTAATTATAGTTTTAATTTGTAGTATTAATTATTTATTTAATTATTATACTATATTATATTATTATTTGTCAATATTTCGATTTATTAAAAAGTTATGAGAAAAAAGTTATATTATTTATTATTTAATTAAATTTAGTTTTAATTTATTTTTAAATTTTAATTTTAATATCAAATTTGTATTTTTATTGTTATAATTATTATTGGTTAATTAAAAAAATATAAAAATAATAATTACAATAGAAATATTTAAAATTAAAATAAGAACAAATAACTTAATTATTCATCGAACCAAATTTTTGCCATATGTTTTCAATCAAATATGCTTTGAGTTGTTGATGTGCTCCTCTGTCTCGAAGTCCCATTCTATTTTTTAGAAACTCAATCATTCCAACATGCCTATCTGCAGAATATTTCTGACTTGAACCACTTAAATTCTCAGTCTCCACTTGTTCGAATTGAGATATATCATAATAATGTATATATGTATCTCTTTCATCTTCAACCATTATATTATGCAAAATGATACATATCTTCATTATCTTACCAATCAAATCAATATCCCAAATGAGTAACGGACGTCGAATAATAGCGAATCGAGCTTGCAAAACACCGAAAGTACGTTCTACATCCTTTCGAGCAGCTTCTTGACGTTGTGCAAATAATTGCATCTTAGATCCTTGAGGCAGACGAATAGATTGAATAAATGTCGCCCATGGAGGATATTTTCCATCCGTAAGATAATACCCAATATTATATTGGTGATTATTGACAATAAAACTTACTTCTTGGACTTTTACCATTAAACAAGAAATTAAAAATCGGAGATTGATCAAGTACATTAATATCATTGCATGTATCTGGTGCTCCGAAAAAGGAATGTCAAATCCATAGATCATACGATACCACAGCTTCTAATACGATAGTTGGTTTGCCATGATCTCTATGTGAAAATTGGCTTTTCCAAGCAACTGGAAAATTTTTCCATTCCCAGTGCATACAATCAGTACTTCCCATCATTCATGGAAAACCACGTTCTTCTGCAACATACAACAATCGTTGTAGGTCTGTTGCATTTGGCCTTTTTAAATATTCCTTACCGAATATTGAAATGACTCATTCAACAAAATTTTTTACACACGTTCTTGCTGTACTCTCTCCAATACGGATATAGTCATCTACAACATCAGCAGCTATTCCAAAAGCCAACACACGCAAAGCAGCCGTGCATTTTTGTAATGACGATAAACCAAGCCTTCCCGTTACATCTCGACGTTGTTGGAAGAACTCATTTTCTGTTGTTAAACGATCTACAATGCGCATAAAGACATGTCTCCTCATTCGAAATCTACGATGAAATTGAAAATTTTTATAGACAGGATTTTCAGAAAAATAATCGTTGAACAAACGATTGTGACCTTCTTCACGATTTCTCTCAATGTATATTCTTCGGCGTGATTGATTTTCCTCTCGTGGTTAGTGATAACATCTTGAATACTCAAAATTTTCAAACATCTGTCCCAAATTTCTACGC